GGACCCATGGAAAAATTCCTCACACCAGACCAGCTCTGGATCATACCTCCCATAGGAAAAGAAGAAGATTTTTAGAGATTAAAAACTCTTAAATATTCTTTACCATATTTAAGTCACATATAAACTCTATGTTTGTACAGAATCCTGTCTGTGTGTGCCTGAAGCCATGGGCAGGTAATGCTGATTTTTCATTTTGTAGAAAGAGCATTTTATGTTTTTCTTATTTATATGTTAATTTTGGCCATGTAAAACACAGAAGGTATTAATAAGAAAAAAATCTGAACAGGAGTTTTAATGAAAACTTTATGCAAACTCACCAACCACCAAAATGGAAAAATTAAAACAAACATTACTTCAAATTTTACACAAGGAAAACTCATCAAAACCTCATTGTTAATTTTTATTTTTTCTATCCTCCCCTTATAGATTCAAGAAAGAAGAGAAAGAAAGAATTAGAAAGAGAGAGGGAGGGAGGGGAGGAAGGAATGAAAGAAGTTAGTTTAAATGCGTGATGTAAATTTACTGGTATATTGGCTGTGGCTACTTTTTTCATACTACTATACAATATGCAAATAAATGTATAAAGTATTCATGAAAGAATTTAGGTTTTTAAATATTAGCATATTTTTACAACAGTCTTAAGAATTATATATTGCTTAATAGATACATAACATTAAAGTCCCCAGCTACAGTGAACACAAAGCACGTCCTCCGCTGTCTCGAGGGGTGCCATAGCCACTAAGAAGCGCATCTACTGGATACAAGAGAAATGGGGTAAGAAGTTACCTTCTCAGGGGAGCGATAGTTCCCTGGGGAGAAATTCTCCAAACTCAGGGCATTTTTGTTTTGTTCTGCTAAGCTTTTAGCAATGAGATGAGACTATCTTGGAGGTGAAATTATGTAAATCTGGATAACTGAATAAGCAAACTATAAAGAAAAGTTGTGGAAATAAGGAATGCGAGAGGTGGAAGAATAAAAATAAATGCTACTTAGTCTAGTGAGGGTAAATTGCAGAATTTAGAAAGGAAAAAGACATCCAACGGCTTTATTTTAAAGACAAGGAAGCTGAGGCCTCCAGTGTTTAAGAAATTTGCCTTAACTTGCACAGGTAATCTCAGGAAGTTCTGAGCCACCACTAGAGTTTCCCTGACACCAGGGGCATTTCCCACCACATTGGCACCATGTTGCATTAATGTTCTAGCTCATTACAGCTGTGATCCTTCCTTGCTTGTATCAAATTCCCGCTGAGATCTGGAGCTGCTTTCACTATTCCCTAAGGACTCCTGCTTTCTGTAACTCCTAGGATTCTAAGTTCCAGGGTTTACAACGCAATGCACAGCCCTGATTTGCCATCTCAGGCCTGTGACAGTAGCAAATCAACGTATGGGGAAACTTTGGCTCTCTTTAGCATTCTATTTTTCAAGAACACTATTATATATACATGATTTCAAAAGAATAACAATGTCTTCAATCGATCATGTTAAAGATCATCATAATAAAAATAAATACCTAGACAGACATAAAATTTCACTTTTTTCTTGAATTCTGAGTTGCATAGAGTCACCTCTTCTATGTAGTTTTTCCTCATTGCCATCTCCCTCCCAAACTTCTTTTATTTCTCTCTTTCTCTGTACAGACTCCACTCATTTGTTTACCATTTAACCAAAATATAAGTGTCCTAATTGTGGGAATCACTTCTTACCTATCTTTTCATTCACTTCACCTCAACAAGCATAGCCCTTGACATGTTGAAAGCACGTAGTAATGTTTTTTGAATAAAGGTTTGAAATTTTCACATTTATATATAAATGGAGTTTAAAAACAAACTCTGGTTTGAGAATAAAAATACTTCAAAAAGTTTGATCTAAGTGAGGTGTTAGAAATAATCCTTTTACAGATGAGGAAACTGGTCAAGAGTAAGAGAGTGGCTCAGAGTCACCCAGCTAGCCAGAACCTCAAGGAGGATGTCCACCCTGGTTCTCTGGCTCTGTCTGCCCTTTTTGGTATACTCCATGCAACCTCTAAGTACAAAGTAAATCATTTTGATACTTCAGTGATTCTTGGGAAAGTAGAAAAGTATAAATGCCTTGATTATGCACTAGAACTGTGACACATTTCACTCTCAGCATTGAAATTTCTAACAATGGTACACAGTAGGCACTCAGTTTGGTTTTCTACATCCCTTTTTCACCTTCCTTAAATTTGCATATCAAACTCTTGAAAAACTGCTAATATACCAAGAAGGCACCATCTCATGCATCAAAGTGAGGATGTTGATGAGACACCAGGATGCTTATAGAAGCCAGTGGTACTGACCCTAAGGCTGTTTTCATGCAGATGATGGAAGTGCTCCCTGAACACACTCTTAGGAGAAATGAGGATGGAACCAGAGGAGGTGCTGATAGAGATGCTCTCATCACTGTGTGCGGAACCTGGTAACTTACCAAATGCCACCTCTCTTCTTCCTCAGTCGTGTATCATCTGGAAGACAGACTCCTGTCTACAGACTTCTCTGAGATACATGAGCTGAATACCAGCACAGATTCTCTGGATAAAAATTTCTATGCATAGAGGATCCCTAATAAGTCACACACCTCAGAAATGTGAGTTGAGCCACTTGGAATACCTGTTCGCTTCTGCACTTACATGTTCCAAGGTCTATTCTGATGCTTGTATTTGACAGTTCTCTCTAATATAACGAACCCCTTTTGGTCTTGCTTGGGAACAGCTTACCACTTAATAAATTCCTTCCAACACTATGTTCTGTGAGTCAACAAGCAGCTTCCCCTGTGATTTGAGCCTGGCTAACAACAAATTAGACTTTGGAAGAATAATTGCTAGGTGGAGGCATTTTCCGAGTGGTACATTCCCACTTTGAGGAAACTTGGTCATTTTACTTTTGCATTTAAGACATCCTTTGGCTGAAAACAACACAAGTCAATGTTTGAAATGACCTCCTCTGTATTATTGACTTTATTTCTAGATTACATTTTAGTCTGGGCTAACACCGAAAACATTTGTCAAAGACAGTTGAAAAGGCCATGTTTGAAAATTATTTATATAATTTACAACATACAAAAGGTAGTAAATTCTCAAACATTTTGACCAGGTTTTTAATCAAGAACTGACAATGGGTAGCTTTGTACTGAACACCATGTCAGGCATTAAAAGACACATTGGTGTAATTATTTTCCCTAAGTTTATGTCTGTTCCTGACACATCTTGGATTTTTCTACCCTCGTCCTAAGTAACTTGATTAAAAGAGGAGTTTCTTACAGCTAATTTACTGTCATATAGTCACCACTGCTTTTGTCACATATTGTTCAGTCGAGTGAGTACGCTCTGAAATCAGACAGCTTACAGTGTCAGGCAAAAATACTTATAAAGAGGATACAGGTTTTGGAGTTGCAACTAGTGAATTCTGGGCTTCTACTTGAGAAAAAAAGTGACTTCATTTTATTACAGAAAATGTCAATCAAGACTGACACCCGTCTTTGTTTTACCAGCCAGTAATAAAAGATAAAGCAGAGGAAATGGAGGAGCTGCAGTTATGCATTTGCAACACACAAAGTCCTTGTTTTCCCACTAGGCACTGCAGAAAAGCAATTGTCCATTCACAGCACATCCTCTGCATTTCAGAGCTAATATTTTTGCAGTTCTTAACTTGGTACATTACAGTCTTATGCAGTTAATTTTGTTAACCCTTTGAAATGCACTTTGTGTTTGATACCTTGCTGAATATTACTGCTAACATGACCCACTTTTAAGGATTTCTGGTTCTCAGTGTTGAAGATAGAAACTTTAAGAAAATCAAGCAAGAAATTTTGGAACAGGGTAATGGCTTCAAATAATTCTGTCTTATTTGCTATTGCATAACTTTGAGAAGAGTAATAACGAAATCCATGTTAACTATATAGTACTTGAATTGCTTTTACAAAAATTGACTCTTTGGATAGGAATAATTTTTAGGAGGGGCCCCCCTTGACACATAACAATGTGCCACTGAAAACAACATTAGTCTTGTGTTTAATTGCCCTGCTTTCTGCAGTATTTAATGTGTTTACTGTATATGAGTGCATATGCCTGCTTTCTGGTGCAAAGAGGTTTACTCTAACATTGCAATAGTCACTCTGGATAGAGCACATGAAGAACAGAATTTTTAGATGATTAATTAGTCCCCAGGCTCAATCACTTAAGTCCTTAATTAAATATTTGACTCTGCTTTCAACAATTGTGGGAAAAGATAATTAGCAAATTTGCAGTGGTAATAAAGAAGTTTTTATTTTCTTTTATAAATAATAAGTTCTAAATCACTGATCATGTAACTCAGTACCTGCATTTCCCCTGTTGACTTCTAAATACAAAACATTTTTTTTAATGCAACAAAGTGGTAAAGCAAATTGTCCTTAAGAATGCATTTTTTTGGACACTTTCTATTGAATTTTCTACCCCCTGTCTCACTACCAGCTTCTTCCTTTCCTCCTACTAATTTCTTCATCTTGGTCTGTTATCAACCAACATGACAAACTCAAGAAAAAAACTGATTTTCTTCTCCTCTGTTCCACAGCCCTCACCAATCCCTTTACCAACGTTTTCCTATCCTGTCCCACCAAAAATAAAAATGACCCAACTCTAAGATTTAAGTTGCAGAAGAAATATTGCACTCATTCCAAAATAAAAAACAGCAACCCCCTCCTTACTGAGGGCTCCACAGGCAGTGAAAGTGCCTGAGTCTCTCATTACACCACTTGGAATGAAACCCTGTTGCCCTCAAACAGTTAATTCAGGATAAGTGATAATGTTTAGTCAGTTTGCCCAGAAAAAGGAAGGAAATTCAAAAGCTGGTTGCTGTAGTAACAATCAGGCAAATATATATATCTATATATATGTACAGGTTCATCTTAAATAAAAATCCTGCCATCTCTCTGTGACTCTTCTCTTAAGAAAAATGAGCTTGCCGCTTAAATTTTTTGTACATACCTCAACCATTAAACAAGACATTTAACCATAGTGGCAGTTCTGTGACCTTTGAATGCCGTGAAATCTCTGAGCGGTGCTGCTTGTTCATGAAGACTTGTGCTGCAGAATCCAGCAACTTCATCCAGGATTAGGAATATAAGTAAGTCAAAAAAAAAAAAAAAAAAAAAAAAAAAAAAAAAAAAAAGAAAGAAACATAAAAGCATGCAGACTGAGAAAGAAGGAAGGTAGAAAGAGAGACTCCTCTGGGTGAGTACACCACTTTCCTCCCAGACGAGTGCTGGGACAGAGCCGAGCCTGCTGCAGTGCCCAGACCGACCGACTGGCTGGGTGAGCAGGCAGCCGGCCTGCGAGGCTGGGAGGTGCTGTCAGTTGCCACAGGCAAGGAAAAGCAGAGACCAATCGGCTTCAACTCTGGCAGCTTACTGGAGTGGAGCCTTCTCTGTTTATGTTTCCTCATTTCGAGAGTGACGTCAAAGGGTTTAGTTTTTCCTCTGCATGTGCTATTAATTTTAAAGTACTGTACTATGGGAAGAATGTGTGTGTGCTTGTGGTTAGCCTGGGCACCCCATTCTCAGGAGAACCCAAGAAACATTTTCTAGATTCAGGAATAAATTTTAAAAATTTAAAATACCTTGTGGATAGGTATATATATAAAAAATAAACAAAAAGCCCTAAGCTAAATAATAGCAGCAAGATTTCTATTTTGTTTTTGTATGTGAGTGTATATGCATATGCCCACTTCACAGCTGTTGCTTATTTTTGAACTAATTCCCTTTACCCTTACCCAAAAATGAGTGGTTAATTAATCCTGATAGCTGTGGATGCAGAATTGTGCAAATGAGCCAGTGAGCAATATTATGTGCAGTGAAAAATAGAAATCCTGCATCGGTTCATGCTGCTGGTCTCTGCTTTTCTGTCTTTCCTCCAGTTTCTGTGGAGAAGCCTCAGGATTATTTATGCTAGGGAGATCCCTCCTGCAATCGCCAAGGGAGTCATTCCAGAAGCAGGGCATAGTGATGCCATGCAGGCATGCCTGGGGCATCAGCACATCTTCTCCCAAAGTGTGTGAAGGTACAGTTATTTAGGGCTATCTCCTCTACCAGGGCCCCAGCTATCCCTGTGTTTCTCTTCCCACTCTGGAAAATCTCCATGGTGGCCATCTGTTGTTTCTGCCTCCCCCAGATCCTCCCCCTTCTCCCCCATCCCCACTCCAAATTCTGCTAACAGAATCTTTTTTTTTGGGGGGGGGGACTTTCCTTCCTCTACCTGTGGATTGCATAGCCTTCCCACCACAACAGAACCATAAGGGGCATGTGACTCACCACTCTGGCCAATCAAATTTCTCCATGGCTCTAGACACAGAACACATTTTAGGGGTAGGCACTACACTCAAAAAAGTCCAGAGCCGTTTATAAAATATTAATATTGATTCTTTGAAGAACAACATATTTGTATCTCTTTAAGATCCTAGGTGCTAGGGTTAAGCAACCTCGTAGCTGTTGGGGTTCATCTTTGCTGATGAAGATACAGCAGTAAACAAAACAGTCTTTTCTCCCATGGAGTTTACATTTTGGAGAATGCGGGAGACAGGTAATAATAATAAGTAAATATAGAATGTCAGGTGGTGATAAGAGCTTTGAAAGAAAGGTAAGGGGACAGAGTAATGTGTGTGTGTGTGTGTGTGTGTGTGTGCACGTGTGCATGTTGTTTTAGGTAAGATGATCAGAGAGGCACTCTGCTAAAGCAACTTTGAGCAGCGGCCTGGGGGAAGAGAAGATGCACACCACGTGTATCTTTGCTTTCCAGGCAGAGGAAGCACTGTAAAGGCCCTAAGACAGGCAGATACTTGGCATATTCAAGGAACAGAAAAGGGAACACGGTGGCTGGAAGAGAATGACGGAAGGGAAGAAATATTTCCATGGAGGTGTGTCTAAGACAAGATCAGGAAGTGTCTTGTAGGCCACCTAAAAGGTTTAGACTGTATGCCAAGATGGAAAACCTATTGGAGGTTTGGAGACTATGACCTGACACATTCCAAAGGGATTTGTCCCTCTTCTGCTTGGAGAATAGACTCCTGGGGAGCAAGGGTGGAAGCAGGGAGACCTGTGAGGAGGCCATTGCGATAATGTAGGTGAGAGACCATCGTGGCTTGGACTTAGGGAGAGCTGTGCAGAAGGTGACAGGGCCACATTCTAGATGGGGGTGTCTGTTTGTAGATAGAATTGGCAGGATTTGAAGATGTGAGGTGTGAGAGAAAGAGAGGAATCAGAACAATCCACAGGATCCTGGCTTGAGCAAACTAGAATAGAGCTGCTGTTTACTGATTAGGGGAAGACTGAGAGAAGAACCTGGTTTTGAGGTGGAATGAAGAGCAATTCTGGACCTTCATTCCACAGAAACAGACATTTATTGATTATCTACTCTGTACCAGGCACTACTTTAGGTGCTGGAGATAAGGCAGCACATGCAAACACACACACACTGAAACACACACACACACACACATGCACAATTCCTTGCCCTCGTGAAGCTTAGGTTCTTCTGAGGAGAGAGAGATCATAACAACAAATGAAAAATATATGGTATTGGATGATAATAATATTGTGAAGGAAAAATATGACAGGGAAAGGTCACTGGTCACATGGGGGCTTGCAATTTTAAATCGAGTATGCAAAGAAGGTCCCACTGCCAAGGTGATATTTGAGCATAAACTTGAAGCTTTTGAGGGAAGAGTAGGAGACGAGTGTCACAGGCAGGCGAACACCAAGTGCAAAGGCTCTGAAGGGTGAGTTGGCTGGTAAGTGGGAGGAGATGGCAGTGGGTCCAGGGGGAGCTGATCATGCAGGGCTTTCTAGGTCATTGTAAGGACTTTGGCTTTCCTTTGGCATGAAATAGGCTATCAGCAGTGGAGTGAGGTGATCTGATTTAAATTTTAACAGGACCCCTCTGGCAGCTGTGTGGAGGTCAGGGTGGAAGAAGGAGGAATAATAAAGGGTGTTTTGCAATCAAACGGGCCAGAGATCATGGTGGTGTTAACCAGGATGCTTTTGGTGGATGTGGCTAGAAGTGATTGTCTTCTGGCTGTATTATAATGTTAGAAACAATAGGATTTGTTAAATGGATTGGATTTTAAGTATAAGGGAGGGAGATTAGTGACAGGAGCCAAGGACATCTCCATCATTTGGGGTTCTATCAAGTGAAAGAACAGAGCTGGCATTGACCAAGAGACAGTGGGAGGAGCAGGTTTTGTGGGAAAGATGAAGAGTTTCATATTGAATATGTTAACTTTGACTTTAAGATATCTACATGGGGATGTTGAATAGGCAGTTAAATATATAAGCCTCGAGTCCAGGAGGGCAGATCTGGCTATAGATATAAATTTAGAAGTCATTATATATGCATGGTATTAAAGCCATGAAACTGGATGAGATTACCAAGGGAGTGAGTGCAGATGGAAAAGCCACAGGCAATCCATGATTAAGTCATCAGGAATATGAGGGAGAACCAGCAAAAAGACTGAGAATGAGCCTCCAAGAGATCCAAGAAAAACCAAGAGAGGGTGGTTGTAGTGGACTGAATTATGTCCCCCCAAAACTCACTGAAGCTTGAATTGTGTCCCCCCAGTTTTATGTATTAGAAACTTAGCCCCCACTGTGACTGTTAAAAGGATGGGAAATCCTATTATGGTAATTGAAAAGTGGAGCCTTGAAGAGGTGATTGGATTGTAGGACCGTGCAGTAGAGAATGGATTAAAAATGGTGGCGAGGGGCGTGGTTCTGAGGGCTTTATAAGAAGAGGACAGTCTGCCACTCTCTCTCTGCTCTGCCATTTTCACAATGTGATATCCTGCCATCATTGTTGCCACCACCAAGACCCTCACCAGATGTGTTCCCTGGACTTTGGACTTCCTAGCCTCCAAAACTTGTAAGCAATAAATTTTGTTTTCTTTTATAAATCACCTGTTCCAGTTTTGTTATAAGCAACAGAAATGGACTAATACAGTGGAATCTTGCAAGGCAATGAGATATTTCAATGATCACCTGTGTAAAATGAAAGTTAGATGAAGACCGAGTATTGGCCCTTAAACTTAGAATGTGTAATCATTTGTGCCCTTGACAAAAGCAGGTTCGGTGTGGTAGGAAGGATGAAATATGGAGAATGGAAGAAGAATTGGAAACAGAGAGTACAGGCAATTCTTTCAAAGGTATTTTTCCCCAAAGAGAGCAGAGAAATAGGGGCAGCAATTGGAAGGGAGAGTAGAGTCAAGAGAACATTTTTAACAAGGGAGAAATGTCAGCATTTTGTGTACTGATGAAAAAGACCCAGTTGAGAGGAATGATTAGTGACGCAGAAGAGAGAGGGGGAAATTTCTGGAGCACAAATGGAGTGTGTGATACACAGAATGGTCCTCCAGAGATGTCCACACTCTAATCCACGGAACCTTAGAGTATGTCATATTACATGGCAAAAGAGACATTGCAGATATGATAGAGGTTATGGATCTTAAAGTAGGGAGACTTATCCTGGATTATCTGAGTGTACCCAATCTAAGCACATGACCCCTTAAAAGCAGACAACTTTTTCTGGCTGGAAGCAAAAGGGAGATACAGCAGAAAGAAAAACCAGAGAGATTCCAGATTTGAGATTCAACACACTGCTACTGGCTCTGGGTCATACAGCCCATGAGTGAGGACCAGAGAGAGGTCTCTAGTAGCTAAGGGTGCCCCCCCTCCCACTGCCAATTGACAGCCAGCGAGGAAACAGGCACCTCAGTTCTACAACTGCTGGGATCTGGATTTGGCCAACAGTCTGAATGAGCTTAGAAGAGGATTCTTCCCCAGAGCCTCCAGAGAGGAGCTCAGTCTTGCTGATACCTTACTTTCAGCTTTGTGTGACTCCTAGCAGAGTACCTATCCAAACCTGCCTAGAGAAACGTGAACTAATAAATTTTGTGCTAATTTGTTTCAGCAGTGATAGAAAACTATCATAGAGTTATCGGCTCTGGAAGGGAGCATGGAAGGTCCATCCACAGGAACAGAAGGGAAGGCAGAGTAAATGGTACAGGCGCTGGTAGGTGGCATGCAATGGTGCTGCAAGGTTGTATTCACATTGGCATTGAGAGTATTGACTAAGAGAGAG